GCTGCCCCGGACCCTCCCGCGGGCGCGCACCAGGCTCAACTCAGGTAAGAAGGGCCTCCTGCCACAGGCACGGGGGCCAAGAACATGCGACCCGAAGATGGAGATAAAGAGACAGAGACACACTGCCGCGGAGAGAGACGAACACAAAGACAGAGACACGGGAACCACCAAAAAGACCCCACGGAGAAGGGGAGAGGGATACGTCCATGGGAACAGTGGGGGATACAGCCTGGAAGAGAGAGACGGAGAGACACAGAGACTGATGTAGAGATACACAGAGACACACTGGTAGAGAAACGAGACAGAGGAGACACACTCAGAGATGGGGACACACGGAGAGGCAGCCACACACACACAGAGGTGGGTGTGCAGAGGCACAGGCACACATCCAACGGAGGGACAGTGAGACATCAGACACACACACCTGACCCAGAGAGAGCCCCACATAGAGGCACAGAGCCTGCACATGCCTGCCAGGGCCTCCACAAAGTTCCCTCTGTGCAAGCTGGCGCCTCTGGAGGTCTCCTGGTCGGGCTGGCTGGAGTCCTGGGAGAGAGGAGGCGCCCAGGCCACACCAGAGCTGCTTACAACCCCCATCCTCTTGGGCGGGGGGCTGCCTGGATCCCACCCACCAACAGCGGGCTTTTGAGGGCTGCAAGCTTGGTGGGTAGGGCCAGGGCATGCCCACCAGGTCTAAGGAGAATGAGATGACGGCTGCCTACTTCAGCTTCTCCACGCTGGCTACACACTCATTCAGGTGCCCAGAACCAGGCCTGCGGATGGGGGTGCTGGCTCTGTGGGGTATTTAAGCCTGTTGGGACCCAAGGTCTTTCACCAGGGAGGCCAGAAATGTGGGAGGGAGGCTGTCTTCCCTACCTCTCTCCTCCTAGGCCTCACCCCACTCTCCCTCCTCACTACCCTCTCCTTTACTCTGTACCCCCAACAGGCTCAGGACTGCCGGTAGACATCTCCACTGCCCAGGAATCACTGAACGTGCAGACAGCACAGCCTCCTCGGAAGGCCGGCCATACCAGAGTCCTGCCTCGGCATGGGCCTCGCCATCGAGGCAGCTCCACTGTCTGTGCTGGTCTGAGGGTGCTGCCCGTCATGGGGGCAGCCATCTCCCAGGGGGCCCTCATCGCCATCGTCTGCAACGGTCTCGTAGGCTTCTTGCTGCTGCTGCTCTGGGTCATCCTCTGCTGGGCCTGCCATTCTCGCTCTGCTGACGTTGACTCTCTCTCTGAATCAAGTCCCAACTCCAGCCCTGGCCCCTGTCCTGAGAAGGCCCCACCACCCCAGAAGCCCAGCCATGAAGGCAGCTACCTGCTGCAGCCCTGAAGGCCCCTGGCCTATCCTGGAGCCCAGGACCTAAGTCCACCTCACCTAGAGCCTGGAATTAGGATCCCAGAGTTCAGCCAGCCTGGGGTCCAGAACTCAAGAGTCTGCCTGCTTGGAGCTGGACCCAGTGGCCTAGAGTCTAGCAAGCCTGGCTCCAATAGGAGCTCAGTGGCCCTAAGGAGATGGGCCTGGGGTGGAGGCTTATGAGTTGGTGCTAGAGCCAGGGCCATCTGGACTATGCTCCATTCCAAGGGCCAAGGGTCAGGGGCTGGGTCCACTCTTTCCCTAGGCTGAGCACCTCTAGGCCCTGTAGGTTGGGGAAGCAAACTGGAACCCATGGCAATAATAGGAGGGTGTCCAGGCTGGGCCCCTCCCCTGGTCCTCCCACTGTTTGCTGGATAATAAATGGAACTATGGCTCTACCCTGAGATTTTCTTCTCTTCCTGAGGGCCCCGTGGTAGCAAAATTAAAGCTGTGGGGTGGATTTTTAGACAAGTTTATTTGTGCAAAGTTAGAGGGGTAATGGTGGCTGAAGACCAAGTCCTGGAGTAAGGTGCTGGGACCTTAAGGAGCAGAATAAGAAGGGAAGATGCTGGGACCTGATCAGGAGTGGGGTCACATGCTGGGTGCTCAGGCTGGACTGGGTACCAGGGTCAAGCCCTAGGAGTATTGGATTCAAGCGATGGGACAGAGGGTGAGGCTGGGCCCTCAGGTCTTGATTTTCACTTCCCTCACCAGGTTCAGCAGTTTGTCCAGTTTCGCAATCTCCACAGCTGGGCCCTTCTGCACCTCCTGCCCCTTCTTTTCCTGGGGAGAGGGAAAGTATGCATGGGGGAGGAATGGTGGGTCCCCCATCTCCGGGTCCCAGCACCACCTCCTCTGCCCAGCCTGTCCAGCTGTGCCCTACCCCTCCCCTGCCCGATGAATTTTGGATCCCTGCCTCCCCTCTCCCTGACGTGATCATTCCCCAACTCAGGTTAGGTGACACAGGGGCTCAGCTGACAGCCTGCAAAAAGGAGTCCAGCTCTGGCTTGGACATGGGGTCTCGATGCTTGTGGGAGTGGGAAAAGGCATCCATTCCCTGAACCTCAGGGGAACAGCCTTCCAGGTCAGGGAGATCCAGCTCTGTGAAGGCGGGGGGCTGACTGCTGGCACCATCCTTACCATGGGAAGGTCCCTGGCCCAGTCCTATCGAGGAGCTAATGGATATGTGTTTGGGGAGGGAGGGGCTGTGGACAGAGCCTCAGGGGCCCTCACCTAGTCCTCTCACCTGATGCCTTCAGGTCAGGTTGGCAGTGGGTGCCATTTGGGGCGAGACCTGCTGTGTCAGACATACCCAGGGTTGGGAAGAGTGTCAAGAGACCCATAAGGGCAGAGGGAATAGTCCATGTGACTGCAGGTGTTGTTGGCTGAGGCTGTCCCTTAGAAGACCAGATGCTGAGTTTATGACCCATCACCCTGCCTGCAAAGCACTCTAATTCTTCCATTATGAGTTGGACAGTGGAGTGCCATGCACAGGTCCCGAGAACTCCTTGGCAGATCAGCACCAGTCCCACCCTCCCTACTGTCCAGGCTAGGGGGTGAGGGCTACGCTGGGGCAGGCTGGGCAGTTACCATTTCCCCATTTCCTGCCTTCGCTCTGCTTCTGGGCCCCCATCCTCTCAGCCACCTGTGCCCACTGCTCACTGACACCTACCCCAGCCTTGCCTTGGTCTGGCCAGGGCTGTAAAGGGGATGGGGCAGGGGTGAGTGCAGGGCCAATAGGCCCCTCCCTGGCTCCCTTTTGGCTGCTGACACCATGTGGAGCTCAGATTTCCCCCTGGTGTGATGCCATACCTGCTCCCAAATTTTCTCCCCTATGCCCTTGCAGCTCAGTGCCTTTTTGCCACTACCTAGCTCACCTCTACCCTCTCCAAGCAGAGGACAAAAAGCTCTTTTTCTCTGTCTTTCCTCTCTCCTTCCTAAATTAAACTTGGGTTCTCTTCTTGGCTTCACCCCATCCCCCGGGAGTTAGGGGACCTGGTTTTAGTTGCAGCTCTGTCATTAACTCCCTATATGACTTTGGGCAAGGCCTTTGCCTTTCTTAGCTTCAGTTTCCCATCGAAACTGAAGACAGTCTTTGGCCTTGGACACTTTGGGCTCTTGACACCCATCATGGGAACTCCCTGGGCAAGGAGGTCCAGACCTTTGTGGGGAAGCCCTTTGGAAAGGGCAGGGAGTCTGCAGCTCACAGAGGAAGGGCAGTAGGGATACCCAGAGGATTTCGTTTTGCATGAATCACTTGACTGATAGGGTCAGATGGCAATTTCAGGGGAACTTCTAATCCATTCAAGTACCCACCAACCCCCACCCATCCCTGCTCAGGTCCTCAGAGACATAGGCCCCCAGATACACAGAACCCAGCTCTCCCAGCCATGACTGACCCTTCTCTGAGGGGAACTGAAACTGTGGGAGATCCTTACCTCCCTGATCAGAGTGGGCAGGGCAGGCTCCCACCCATGTCTACCACCCTCATGGTGTCATGGCTGTACTCCTCCCCCTAAGAACGACCATCATCCCTCCTGGAGGGTTGTCCAACTCTGCCAGCTTCAACCTGGGTCTCTCTCCTCAGAAAATTAAGAACACATTTTATCTATTCCACAAATTATGCTGCCTCCTTCCTCTTCCTTGAGGCCAACTAGCTGGGCTCAGCAAAGAGATTCAGACCACGCCTGACTCCCTCCCTCCCCTCAAGCCCACCGCAGCCTCTGGGCCACAGCTGCAGGCGCTTAGCAGCCTTCTGAGTATTTATAGCCAAGTCCGCCCCCTCCCTCAGCTGGCTACAATTACAGGGCCGGCCACACTCCCAGCCCTTGCCTCCCTGGCCATGGTGGGGAACAGACCAAGCCGGCACCAGAGGGATGGTGCAGCAGTCCCTTCCTTGGTAGGAGCACAGTGCAGGGAAGTCAGTAGTCGAAAGACACAGGCCACTGCCTCAAACTTCAGTAAATGCCTCAAATTGCCAGGAGGGATGGTCATCAGGGCAAGCTGGCCCAGTCCTGATCCTGGCCCAGAACCTGGCAAAAAGCAAAGAGCTATCTCTACTCTTAGCACACAAATGGGCAGGACCAAGCTCTGGGTTCTTTTGTTTGTTTGTTTTTTGAGATGGAGTCTCGCTCTGTCGCCCAGACAGGCTGGAGTGCAGTGGCGCGATCTCAGCTCAATGCAAGCTCCGCCTCCCAGGTTCACGCCGTTCTCCTGCCTCAGCCTCCCGAGTAGCTGGGACTACAGGCGCCCGCCACCACACCCGGTCAATTTTTTGTAATTTTAGTAGAGACGGGGTTTCACCGTGTTCGCCAGGATGGTCTTGATCTCCTGACTTCGTGATCCGCCTGCCTCGGCCTCCCAAAGTGCTGGGATTACAGGCGTGAGCCACTGCGCCCAGCCCCGGCTCTGGGTTCTTGGGCTCAGGATTCTAAGGCCTGGGCTGCAAAGCCCGGGTTCATAAGTCTGGATCTGGACTCAGATCTAGGCTTTAAAGTCATCGCTCTGGGCTCGAGACCTGTATTTGGGGTCCTTAGGCTCTGGGCAGGGTCTCCTCATCACTGGAGACCCTAGAAACAGGAACCAGAGATCAGAAGGAGGGCTGCATAGCTGCTGACCTAGCTACCCTCCTCACAGCTCATTTCCTTCCTTTCTGTGTAGAACCACAGCTCCCAGCTCAGGGACCACTGGGGTTGAAGCCCTGTGAAAGCCCAGCCAATGAGGCAGTGGCTCAGCTCCAAGCCCCCTGCCTGGGTGACCTGTCCTACCCACAGCATTTCCACTGGGAAGAAATCAATGATACCTCCACATTTGCCTCCGCAGGCTTCAGATCTACCTGCTCACTGGATGTCTCCACCTGGGAGAGTCATCTGGGGCCCCACAGGTAACTCAAATGCAGCATGTCAAACTGCTATTTTCTCACAAACCTCCTGCTTCTACTGTGAGCCTCATTCAGGCAATGACACCATCCTTACCCTGAGTCTCCCAAGCCAGAAACTGGGGGGTCACCCTGGCTCCTCCCTTCTGTCATCCCCACCCTCCTGAAGACTTTATCTCTTGCAGCAGCCCAAAGTCCCAGAGCCTGTACCTTTGGCATCTTGCGCAAATTGGGTGAGAGCTTGAGGCAGATGATGTGCCCACGGTCATCGCCCACAATGATGATGGGGTGGATGGGATTGAACTGCACGTGGGTGATCTTGTTCTTCTTTTTGGCCGCCACAGGCTGGTTGCAGATGGCCTCATACTTGTTGATGGCCAAGTCGAACACGTGGGCCTGTGAAGAGGTCAGTGTCAGCACACTCAGGGGTAAGAGGCCTGTCTTCCACCTCAGAGGAATCAGTCCCTGGACTTTCTGGGGAAAGACTGTAGAAGGCTAATGGCTACAGCACACTGGAGCTGGAGGTGGAGGGAGGGGGAATTCTGTGTCTCTGTCTGTTTTTCCTATGGTTGAAAGAGTGAGAATAAAAAAGTTTAGGAGAAATTTTAAATCTATGGAGAATTAACAATAATAGCAGCTACAGGCTGGGAGTGGTGGCTCACTGATGCCTGTAATCCCAGCACTTTGGGAGGCCAAGGTGGGTGGATCACCTGAGGTCAGGAGTTCGAGACCAGGCTGGCCAACATGGTGAAACCCTGTCTCTATCAGAAATACAAAAAATTAGCTGAGCATGGTGGCCCATGCCTATAGTTCCAGCTACTAGGGAGGCTGAGATGGGAGAATCACTTGAACCTGGGAGGCAGAGGTTACAGTGAGCCAAGATGGAGCCACTGTACTCCAGCCTGGGCAACAGTGAGATCTTGTCTCAAATAAAAGAAAGAAAAAAGAAAAGAAAATAGCAGCTACCATTTGTTGAACACTTACTATGTACTAGACTCTGGGCAAGCACATCACACGGTTGCATCATCTCATTATGCTCTTCACAACCACTCTACAAGGTAGTTCTGTCACTATCTTCATTTTATAACAGAGGAGTTAGAGGCTAACTTGCTAGTAAGTGGCAGAGCCAGGGCTTACACCAGTTAATATATGTAAAGTGCAAAGGCAGTGCTTGACATACCAGTGCTCAATCAATGTTGGATGCTACCTTCACCACACCCTTAGACCAAACAGCTACCAACTCTCGCCTGGACAACTGTGGTAGCCTCTTAACTGGTCTCCCCACTTCCACTCTTGCCTTGCTACAATCCATCCTCCATACAGCGGCAGGCTTACCTTTAAAACACTTAAAATCCTCCCACAGTCTCCCTTGGCACTATAAATAAAATCCAGATCCCTCATTCTAGCCCACCTCCCCACTCTCACCTCATGTTCTCGCCCCTTGCTATACCCTAGCCACACTTGCCTTCCTGTTCCTTAAACCCCAAGCTGGTTCCCACCTCAGGGCGTCTGCCCCAGCTGC